GAGAGCTCCAATCCCAGAACTGCAGGCGTGTACTGGCCTGGTGAAAAGGCTATGCCCTCAGGCTCGGCAGGCTGCCACAGCTGCACAGGCTGAGCACTGCACAAGGCACCTCTGGGTGGGCAAGTGGGGGCTGCAGCCCTGAGGAAGAGATCTCTGGGAGCCATTCATCTGCCCCAAGAAGGCCCTGTGCTTCAAGTCCCACGAGACTGTGTGTGCCAAGGCTTGTCCCTAAGGCCCTGGTCGTAGCTCGAGCGCCTTACCAGTTCACCTCTGGACACCCTCCAACATCGTTATTTTCTGTCCACTGCAAACTCAAGCGTTTGAGATGGCCACTCGCAGTGGAAAGATCCCCTACCAGCCAGTCTTCTGGCTCGTGTCCACCCCTGCTCAGCCCTGCCCATTTAAGAGGCTCTGTGCTGAAAACCAGCTCTTAGAAACACCTTTTTAAGAAGCCCTGATTGGGACCGTTCCGCTGGCATAAATACTCCCACCATGGCCAATTCCAGGCCACCTACCAGACCTCAATGAATGAACTACGGTGAGGCGCCCGCAGTCAGCCAGCTCCACACGCCACAGATCCCAGGCCCAGAGCCATGATCGCGACAATTACCACTAACCGGGCCCATGCCATGTGCCAAGTGCCACGCTAAGTATAGAAACGCTAATAGCACAGCTGACATTTGCATTGCAGTTAATATATGCAGAGAGTTCCATGTACTGCACATACACTGACCCGTTTCAGCCCTCTACGAACCCCAGGAAGTGGGGGAGTTATCCCGCAGCTTACAGAAGAAGAGAGGAACAGAGACCCAAAGTTACTTACAGTTACACAGCCAGTAACTACCAGCAAAGGAGGGACCTGGTCCCCGGCGGTCTGCTCTGGGCTATGGGCGCCATCTCTTCAGGGGGCACATATTATTTTTCCCGTCTCACAGACGGGCAGCTCTGAAGGCTCTGACTGCCTGGCTAACTAGGGGCCCTGGGTGGTGACTCTATGTCAAAGACCCTACATCCCACTCAATTCACGCTAAAGCCGTCCTTTAATTTATCCCATGAGGCTGAGGTGCTGTGCACATAGCAGTTGCTCAATAAATGATCCAGGAATGAATCAAATGACAAACAGCTCTGCCTTTGGGCTCACCCAAAGCCCCCCTCGAGGGCCCTCCCCTCACGCCAACCTGCTTGGCAGACCAGAGTCTGTGCTGAGGGGCTGTGAGGAGAGGGGACTGCAAGACTTCTGATGGTGGGCATTTCTCAGACCCCCGACAGGCCCTCCTTCTGCCGGGCTTCGCTTTGCTGGTGCGCCCTCTGTTTAGACAGAGGCGAGGAAGGGGCTAGCAGCCTGTAGGGGCTGCGTTGGTCTCCACCCCGGCTTTGCTCCAGTATCCAGCCCAGAGCTCCTCGGACAGCCAAGCTAGTATCAGGGATCACAAGGGCTTCAGGGAGTCAGAGAAGAGAAACAGAGACTGGGACTCAGAGAGAAGAGGCAGGAGGAGAGGGGAAGCAGAGTCAGAAATAAGAGAAAGGGAGTCCATGTGCAGTGAAGGAGAAAAAAAAAACCTGTGTTTGTTTTTCCCTCTGGGAGAAGACTGAGTTTCCAACGGCCCAGCCACGTGGGGCTGTGCGAGGCACCTGGACACCTGGATGCCAGGTGTCAGCACCTCTGTGGGCCCCGCCTCCCTCCCCCTACATCTTCCCTCCCACGTTTTCCCTCCCTTCCTTCTCCAAGAGGCCCATGGGCAGCCCCGTGGGCAGCTTCTCTCCCTGCTGCCCACACTCCCTTCTCTCTCCTGGCCAGACTGGCCCACACAACAAGGAGCAGACAGTGATCAGAGTTTGAAGGGTCCTTTGGGGAGTCAGAGCTCAAGCCCGGAGGCCCAGGTGGGTGGGAGGTTCAGGGGACCACGGGCAGCAAAGGACCCTGATTCAGGTGGGATGGCTCACCACCTCAGGGCATTCTAAAACCACCTCAGGGCAGAGCCGGGTGAGGCCGTCCTGGGGAACGTTACCCCGAGCCCGGTGGGCAGCATTGTGTGGACACTGCACGCCTTACTCCCATGAGGAGGGGACCATCCTAACTCATAGGGCCAATGGGGACACTGTGGCTTAGACAGACTGTGACATTTGCCCCAGCTCACCCAGCAGATGACTGGCTGGGTTGGGACTAGAACCAGGCTGCTTGGCTCCGGAGCCCAGGCTCTTTGTTCTAAGAAAACTCACCCCCTGACCAAAACAGGAATTTGGTTTTTTCAAAACAGCATCTGATTCGGTGAAGCTTCGCCTGGCGTCAGGCGGGGGAATGAGGAGAGGATGACCCCAAGGCAGGTGAGATGCTCATCCCCTCTCTCTCCCCAGGGCGGGCGCCTGGCCCAGGACTGCCCCCAGCCTGCCAGCCCAGCCAGCTCCCAGGCAGCCCATCTGCGGTTTCAACCTTCCCCCAAGCTGCTCTCCCAGGCCTGCCTGGAAGACGGAGGGTCAGACAGGCAAGGACAGCAGGACAAGAGACAACGTACCCTCCCAGTGTGTGCCCAGAGGGTGTCACTGCACTGCCCCCACTCCGCCCCACGAGGCCCCCAGCATTGCCCACCCCAGCCTCTTGGGACACACAGACTGTGGTCACTGGCCTCCATCCCCCACAACAAAGCCAGCCTCCCCGTCCTTGGCAGCTCAGGAGGGTAGAGAGCAGGTGGGCACCAGAACCGGTGCCCAGCAAGGGCAGATGGACAGATGACTTGGCCTTCAGGGGCTCAGGCTACCCCAGTTAGGTGGCCCCAAGGGTCCAAGAACCCAGGGGTTCACACAGCTGCCGGCACCAGTGAGCGTTAACCACTGTGGGCTTCCTTTCTTGGTGGTACCTCCTTATGGTAGACGGGGGACATGAGAATGGCCCCACGGACCAGGTGCGGCGGGACTGGAGTGGAGATGAGGTCTTGTGGGGACCCCCTCTAGTGTCTCTTGTCACAAGGGGAAGCCCGAATCTGGGCTCCCGAGCTGGCTGCCCATTCCCAGCCCACCTCCCGCTCCCACAAGGTCCTGGACATCCTTCCAGGGCTGGGAGCAAGAGAAAAGGGGAGGGGCCCAGAGCTGCCTGTGGGTCCTCGGGCCAGCTGGGAACAGAAAATCCTCCTGGGAAGGGAATTATCCAGGAATATCACTCTGCACCACCCAGAGAAGAGCTCAAGGAACTCTGGATAAGGAATTCCTCAACCTTCCTTCCTCCAAGGCAGTAGTCCCAGGGCTAGCTCTATCCCAGCGCCCGGCCTCCATCCTGGAGTATAACCTGCAGCTGGCTCTAGAAGGGAGTGTTTGGGAGGGTCTGTGCCTCTGCCTCCCTGAGCCTGTTTCCTTATATTTAAATGGGCTGTGACTCTCGATTTCTTTTTCTGTCTTTTTTTAGAGATTAAAGTCTTCTGCCCTAACCTAGGCGGGTCTCAAACTCACGATCATGATTCTCCTGCCTCGGTCTCCCGAGTAGCTGGGATTACAGGTGCAGCTGCTAGATTTGTTACAAAGAAAGCTCCCAGCACCAGCCCCTGCACGCAGCAGCTGCTCAGTAAATCTCCTTCCTGGGCTATGTAAAGGGTCTGGCACCCAGTCTGGCACATTCTAGGTGTTCAGTGAATTTAATCTCCTCCAGATATGTAAAGTGGCCAGGCCATCCCGGCACACTGTCAGTGCTCAGTCAATTTAACTTTCCCTAGTCGTGTCAACGTCACGGAGCCTTCCTCGGAGGAGCGTCCACCCATTCTTCCCATCTGCCCCACTTCACCAGCTCCCCAGTTCTCTCCTACCTGGGAATGGCGGGCCAGGCTTCTGGCACAGCTCGGAGGGCTGCCTGGAAGCGCCTGGAGGTGCGGGGAACCGCCTGCTGCTCCAGCCGCCGCGCTTCCTAGCGGGGGGGCGGGAACCCCCCTCCGCCCCCAGCCGCCGAGCTTCCTAGCGTCTGCGGCGCTTCCTGGGTCACTGCGCAGGGATCCTCCTCTGCGCGGCTCGGTGCGCCGGGATGGGCGCGGCCGGGCGAGGGAGCGCGCGAAGCGGGTGCCCCATGGGTGGGCTCCGAGGACTCTGCGGGGTCCGGGCGCCGGGCGGGCTCCGGCTCCCCCCCGCCGGCCCTGCAGGAGGGTTCTTCGGAAGGGACTGTGGGTGCGTGAGTGTGCGCGTCCCGGGTAGTGAGCCGACACTGGCTGCCTGTGCTCTCTTCTCCGCCCGCCCGGCTCTGGGAAGAGCGCTGCCCGGCTCGGCCGCGCCGCCTTTTCTGGTGCCCGAGCTCTGCAGCTCTCCCCGCGCGGGAGGGACGCTCCTGTCTCCCCACGAGGCGACGACAGCAGCTGAACAAGGCGCAGGGCGCTCAGCTCTGCGCGCGTGTGGGAGGGAGCCTTGAACGCCGCCCCGAGGTTTCGCAGCTCTAAGTTGGCCCGATCCCGGCTCCACCTCCCACTGCACCTCCTCCGGCGCCCAGAGGAGAACTTTCTGCGGAGCCCTGGCTCCTCCTTCCTTCTCTCCCGCAGGCGAGTGTCCCTTTCTCCCGCAGGGTGAAGTCGCTGGTCCCTCTGAAAAGTGACCGGAGCCCAGGCTCCTGATAGCGAGCCCAGCACAGGCCTGGGTGCCCTCTCCCGCCCCCGCAAGCGTCACCCCGCTGCCCAGACGTGTGGCGCCCG